CATAGGGAAAATGAATGCTCAATTAATGAATCGTCATTGGACGAAACAGTTTCGTATTCGCTACACTATCGAGGAACGGAGAATATCCAAAATACTTGCAGAATATCCAAAATTCTCTAGCCATGTCTTTCTTTCGGACAAGAAAGTTGAGTTTCTTAGCTCTCTAAAGAAATTTGATAAGGCTTTTTACAGGAAACGTAATGATAGGACTCATAACAGATCATTTGTATTACCCATGTAACAGTTATTGTTTAGACAAAGAAGAGGTCTTGCTTTACATGAGCCGAGAATTACATATACATGTACATATATCTCAATACCAGCACCTTTTACGATCTGGACAGTGTCATTGAAGTGTCACTAACGAATTTAATCAAATTTGTTAGAAGTATGGTAAGCTTCTCCGGATGCTACCATATGAGTAACAATACCATCCAAATTAGGAAGGATTGTTCCCACTAAAATTTCCCATGTACAATGATCCGACAATGACAACGTAATGTGTTTAGACGATTGTCAGATATCTGACAATATAATTGTTTTACAATGTACTGACAATGTTTTTTCTGACAACGTTGCAGGACAAAAATTGTAAGTTCACATTGTCACTAGACGTTTTCTGAACATTTGTCTGACAACACTGTATGATCTGACAACCGTGTATATATCGCTTAAGTTATACTCTTTTCTTAAAAATAACTTTTTTTTTTGGATTACAAATACCAATTTTCCATGCCTGATACATTTGCAACCTATTATGTTGGCATACTTTTAGGCATAAATTTTTAAAGTTTCATTTTAAAGAGTGAGAATAGCAAGAACCTTCTCTTGATTCATTCTCGAATGTTTTAGAAAATTATGAAGGCTTATTATTTTTGTATAAAAAAAACATTTCAAAATATCTGCAGTTTGTTTAAATCTATTAAATTTAGTTTTTAGTAATTTGTATGGGTTTTGCTCTTAGTTTAAACCAAAAATTGTGACATTATTTATGGACTTGATTGATATTGTCTTGTTACTGAAATATATAGACATTTTTGTCTAAGATCTTGTATTTTTTTAACAACAAATAAGAAATTATATTATTAAGGTTTAACAGGTTTATTATTTTGGTTTTGTTGTTAATTTAAGTTCGGTAAGAGTCTAAGTTTTCGATGCCTTCTTCTTTTTTTTGTAATATACTTGACTACTGGTAGTTTTTTTAGTTTGTGTTGTTTTTATTATTACTATTTTTGGTTTAAATAAATTTTTGTTTCTTAGGAGCTCTGTACATTATTAGGTGTATGTGTGTTTTCTTGGTGGAAACTAAACTATTTAACTGAAATTATAAAGAAAATAATAAATAAAACATAATGCAGTTGGTAATAACATCATAATAATATTTATTTATAAATTTTTCTTAATTATTATTTACAGAGCCTTTTTATTTAATTTATTTGAGTTTGCAGTTGTATATAAGTTTATTTAGTTTTTTTTTTGTATATTTCAAGAAGCCTTTTTATTCTTTTGTTTTAATTATTTTTTTTTATTATTATTTTATTGGGTTATGGGTTTTTGTGTAATTTTATTTAATATGGTTTTGTTAAGGTTTTTATCTACTATTATTAAGTTTTATTATAAATTATTTATAATTTTTTTTTAGATTTTTTTTATAAATTATATGTATGCAAGTCTTTTTTTATACATTTTAACTAATTTATAAATAAATATATTTATATTTATATATATTTATAATAATATTTATAATTTATATATAAACAATCATAATTTAACATATAAACTTATAAAATAAATTGCAAAATATTTAACAATTATTTAAAAAAATTTTAATATTAAATAAATTCGAACCATAATTATAAAAATAAAATAAGGTGAAAAAACTAAATAATTATATATATTTAATAATTGTTTAATAATTTTAATTTTAATCATTCACTTAACATTTATAACTTCATAAACATTTAATTGAAAACATTTAGGAAATTAATATTAAAATATTTAAAAAAATAAATAAATATGATGTTTTGTGTGTGTGTGTATAAAGTTATCATTAACTATTTTATTTAAGTTTTTAAATATGTATCGTTATTATTATAGTTGTAATTAGTAGCATATGTTGCGTATGATTAATATTTTATCAATGATACGTTGTGTTAATCATATTTCTAACATTAGTTTTAGCATATGTTGCGTATGATTAATATTTTATTAATCATACGTCATGGTTGTTTATTGTATATCGTAACATATGGTTGCGTATGATTAATAATTTATTGGTCGTTGGTGTAAAACTATTTTCTTTATGAAATTGTTTGTTTTTTTTCGCTGATCTCTGTAAGTCGATTACTTAGCTAAACGAAAGTCGACTTTTTTCATTTGTACTTCGATTGTTTGAAAATAGATTAATGAAGTCTATTAGGCTTCTGATTTAATCTTCAGAATTTATGATTTCTTAGAGGCAACTTTAAGAAGAGTATTTTTATTCTGTTATTAAAGGAAAGTAATGCCCTTTAAAAGTAGATAGAGCAAATTCTTATGATTTTCCTTATCTGCTGATGCTTTTGGTAATTGAACCTGGTCTGGAAGACCACAAACATCAAGATTAGAACAGTTAACAGTTAATTTTGTTTGTATGAGGTTATATACTATTCTATAGATTAGTCTATTGTATAGTTTATGAACTATTGACTAATCCAATCCAAAGACTTTCTTATGGTCTAGTATATTAACTAGTCTTGGTACTAAGCTATGAATTAGTCATTGTAGTCATATTCTATATATTAGTTTATACTCTCAATTGACTAATCTATGGACTAATCTTCTAACTGGTCTATGGACCCAACTATTGATAAGTCTGTTAATTGGTTTATTGAGTAATTCTGCTGTAAAAGTAGCATCTCAGCGAATAGAGTTAGTTGGGTATACAAGTACGATCACTATGGCCTAGAATGGACTAAATTAGTGTATTAATACGCTGATCTTATAAAGGGATCAATATGATGGACCTCCGTGTGGTAAACATATGAACGAGCTGCTAATGTATTAATACGCTGACTCTTCTCTGTTTATAGATTTTACAAAGGGGGTCAATATGATGGACTTAATATAATCTAACTAGCCACTGTAAGTTTGGGAAACATATTGGACTTCCATATATAGTGCCTTCTAAGTTATTTTATTGAAGAAGATTAGGAATACGTTGATTCTTCGCTCTTTATAGATATCTCAAACGGTTCAATATGATGGACCCAAGTATATAACCAGTAATGTTAACACATGTACAATAAGCTTACCTAACCTAAGCTAACTGTTGACCAGTTAACATTTTGGGTAACATGATAGAGCATTGGACATCCATTATACTGAGTTCTGAGTTATCCTAAAGAAGATGAATAGGAGATATTCTTTGTCCTTATCCTGCACTGAAAACGGAACCAAACTAGATATTGGAAGTAATGTTTTATTCTGAACTTGCTGATCTATCTGATGTTCGATTAGAATGACTCTTCGCTCTTTATAGATATCGCAAAGAGATCAATATGATGGACCCCAGAGTTTCCCCAATGATGTAAACACATGGACAACATGCTACCTTACCTAACCAAGCTGGTCACACTTATAGACTAGAACACTACTCAACTATCGGTGGCACCCTAATCTTTATCTATCTCTTTTTGAGAAAATCAATTGCAACTTTAGTGTTCAAGAATAAAGAAAGCAGTTTTTTAACCCACCAGAAGCGTATGGGACATATGTAAATAGTGACTTCTGAGTTATCTTAATGTAGATGAATATAAGATGGTATTCTGAGTCCTTGTCCTGTGATGGAAACGGAACCAAAATAGGTATTGGAAGTAATATTTTATTCTGAGCTTGCTGATCTTTCTGATGTTTGATTAGAATTACTCTTCGTTCTTTAGAGACATCGCAAAGGGATCAATTTGATGGATCCAAGAGTATCCCCAATGATGTAAACACATGGACAACATGTTACCTTACTAAACCAAACTGGTCACTGAAAATTTGTGTAACAAGCTAGCGCATTGGACTTCTATATAGTGACTTCTGAGTTATCATAATAAAGATGAAAAGGAGACGGCATTCTGTGTTCTTGTTTTGAGCTGGAAAGGGAACCAAACTAGATATTGGAAGCATCGAATCTTTCGTTCGATTAGAATGACTTTATGGATGGATGTAGCTTCCGCTGTTGTACTTTTTTCTGTACTCAAGTGTGACAGTTTCACGACAGTGTCCCAACATCCTGAAAAACCTAAGCTTAGTTAAAAAGGACGATGTATGTTTATCTAATTCGAAAAAATGTTATTTTATCAGAGTATATGATTGACCTCCAGACTTATAGACTAGAACTCTACTAACCTATCTCTATCTCTCTCTTTCTGAAAAAATCAGTTGCCACTTTAGTGTTCCAAGCCAATCAATAAAGTAGTTATTTAACCCACCAGAAGTAATCTATCGCTGAGATAATTGTTCATTGAATGATAAAATTAATTCCCAATTAAATTTTAAAATAACCAATATATTTTCAGAACTACAAGCTATACTGCCGAAATAATAACGATAATTTCCTTTAAATTTTGATTACTTTTTAACATTACATCATATTTTTTTTTTTAATTTAAATATTCAAAACAAATCAAAGCTAAATAAATAAATTAAAAATAATCAAGTAATATAATTATTAAAATGTGTTAACTTTTCACTTTATGATTTTTTTTTGCATTTTTTTTATAATTTTATATAAATTCTCTCTAGGGAATGGAGTATTTATTAATTTATGTATAAACAACTAATTTTTTTTTGTTTGGTTTCATTCATTTACTACATTTAGTTTTTAGTTTTACATCATTTCTTTTTTATACAAAATTTGTTTTGTTTAAATTCTCTTTTAAACACATTCACATTCATACAAAATAATTTACATGTTACTTAATTATTTGTTTTTCATAATTGTTTTTGTTGCAATGCAATTATTTGTTTTTATTTTTAAATATAAACATATTTTTTTTTCTTATTATTTGTACAATATTTTTGTTAATTTTATATTTTTAATTATTTTTGCATTTTAACTAAACTAAAATTGTTCTAGGAGGTTTAGGGGGGGGGGGGATGGAGGAAAGGGATTTTCGGGGTTTGAAGAGATTTTTAACAAAATATAACATATTTACAAGTTTGGGAGAGAGGAAGTAACTTTTTTTAAATTCCTAAATTTTTGAAAATTATTTTTTTTTTTTTTATAAATATTTATAAGTTAATTTTTTTTATAACGATTTTCTGTTCACTTAATGCTAAAGTTACTAAATTTACGTGTTTAACTTTTTATATGTGTGTTTTTGTGTTGTTATTTTCTTATTTAATTGTTGTAGTTTATGTTGTAGTTGCTGTTTAAGTCCGAACTATTTCGAAAAGGCTCGACTACAATTCGACAATTTCGAAATAGTGGTATTTGAGTTGCTAGTTGAGTTACAGACACGTTCTCGTTTTCTAGTGTATTTATTGTTGGTACTTGAGGTATTTGACGATGCAGCCGATACCGAAGTGGGCACCGAGGCGGATGCCGTCATGAAGGAGGTGTTAGTGTTGGTGGCGTCAGTGGTCAAGGTGCTGGAGGGTGAGAATGAGAACGATTGTGGTAAGGCGGTATTATAAATAGATAACGACGATGATGTGGATGAAGCTGCCATTATGTTGGCAGCACTCTGATGCTGCAGTTGCTGTATCAGATGCATTGATGAGTTCGTAGTGGTTGTGGTGGTGGTGTCGGTTTGTGATTCCGGTGTATTGGCATTCGTTTCGGCATCTTCGGCTATAACCGTTTCGATAATACGCAATGATTCGGGCAGACCACACTGAGGATGGGCGTGTGGCACGATGTAGTTTTTCAAGAATTTCTCTTTATGATGCATATGTTGCAGCTGTTGTAGAAATTGTTGTTGCTGCTGCTGCTGTTGGTGGTTGTGGTGGTAGTCATGGTTGGTATTGTTGTTGTCCGCTGAGGCTGAAATACTTTTGGTTATCGAGGCGGGTCTGGTAAACGTATTGTTGTATTTATTCGCTGACGTACCCAAGGTGAACATTTCAATGTCCACTATGGCCGTCGCTGAGGATCTACGATTGACATTGTTCTTGCTGGTGTTGTTGGTGGTGGAGGTCATGGCGTTAATGGTGTTACTAGTGTCATATTTACTAATGCTGTTGCTTTTACTGGTGATCATGGTCGTGGTGTTTGTCGTGCTGGCAATGGCGGCTGTGTTCATGATGTTCATGGCGGAGGAGAAGGAGCGGTTATCTTCTATTATTCAGCTGCCATACTTATTGGAAGATGTGTAATTATTAACTGCATTAGATCCATTAGATGACATTAGATGAGTGTCAGGCACTAAATGTGGTGTTCTACTTGAAATAGGTGGCAATATAGGACTTGTTGGCCAATGGTATGTAGTAGCAGCAACATTATTGGATGAGGGAACACTTCTATGCAAAAAGCAGTTTGGTCTTGATTTAGTTTCATTTGCAATTTGTCAATTAACGCATACATAGACAGTTACACACACACACACATACACACATTCACACAGGTTTAAATTGTTTTTGTACAAAAGACGCAGTACGCAGGTGCGCATTTACACATACATACAGATACACACACACACAGGGACAAAGTGTTAAAACGAAAAGATTAGAATTTTGAGACAAAAAAGGAAACGAAAAAAAGAAAAAGTTTTGTTTTAGTTAAATTACAAATACAAATTTCGTCTGGTCTGGTTATTAACACTGACTTTAAGCATGATTTTTTTTTTAAATACAAAACAAATTATAAATGAAAGATGATCTGTTGTCGAAGCGAAAAAAGTTGTAGTAGAAGAGACAGTATGAATACAGATAGAGATTTATTTAGAATTGTTGTTTTGCAGTAGTTGTTGTTTTTATTTTCATTTAGTTAGTTAAGCGATTTGTAGTAATCAGTTGCCAATTTAGTTCGTATTAAATTTAATTTGCTATCAATATTACAATTCTATTAACTAGTTTACCACCTGGACTATGGATTAATCTGTAAACTAGTCCATGGACTAGTATATTGGTTAGTATGTGGACTATTGACTAGTCTGCGGATTATTCAAATTCCAATCTACGGACTAGTCTATTGTCTAGTTTATGGACTACCCTATTAAATACTCTATGTACCAGAGATACAAACCGATGCAATATGCGCGGCGGCTCAGTATTTTTGGTTAGTGGCAGCACATTAGTTTTTAAGTCGGTGGCTGCGCGGCTTGCCAAAACTTGGCCGGCTACCAGTCGCCGACGATTTGAGTAGAGTCGGTTTATAGCTCTGCTGTGAACTTTACGGATTAGCCTATTGATTGTTCTGTGAAATAGTCTACTGACTAACTTCTGAAATAGTAAGTTGACTAATATGGACTAGAACTAGTCTGTGAATAATAGCCAATAGATCTGTCTATAAACTAGGAGTTTGATATAATAAGCCGTGATGGAACTACAGTATTTTTCGATGTCACTTTCGTAAGTGGTTCTGTGGAGGCGTTATGAAGTCAAAACTTATGCTATGAATCGATTCTTGAACCAATATTATATAAACAAAAGTTTCACATACAAAATTAAATGACTAAATTGGCAACACTTGATATACATATGTATAAAAGACAAATCGGTAACTTGAAGTTCGACGAAGGGGATGTGATCAATTTGGTTGTAAATTGAGAATATAAATAACTTTTACTTAATATAATTCTGGCGTCAAATTTAAAAATTGCCGAATCGTTTAAAAATATTGTTTTTCTCAGTATCAGCAGATTTCCAGTATTGAGTCAAAAATTAGTCAGAAGAACAGAAAAAGTATTATAAATCAGGTTACCGGAAGGTTTCTGTGAAACTAGAATCATTTTGATATGACAACACTTTAGTCGTCGATATATTCTAATTCTATAGTTTAGACTTTAATTCAGAATATAGTCCAGACTCTATATAAGATTATAGTTCGGAATATAGTCCAGGCTATAGTTTACACTATAGTGTAGTTCATACAACAGATCTGCATCTAGGCTATAGTATAGGCTATACTTCAGGCTATAGTTCACATTATAGTTCATACTACAGTTTAGACTATTGTTCAGAATATAGTTCAGAATATAGTTTAGACTATAGTTCAGACTATAGTTCAGACTATAGTTCAGACTATAGTTCAGAGTATACTTCAGACTATAGTTCGGACTATAGTTCAGACTATGGTTCAGATTTTAGTTCAGACTATAGTTTAAATTATAGTTCAGACTACAGTTTAGGTTATAGTTCAGACTATAGTTCAGAGTATACTTCAGACTATAGTTCGGACTATAGTTCAGATTATAGTTCAGACTTTAGTTTAGACAATAGTTTAGAGTTTAGTCCGGACTATTGTTTAAACTATAATTCTGGATGTAGTTCAGACTATAATTCAGACTTTAGATCAGACTATAGTTCAGACTATAGTTCAGAGTATACTTCAGACTATAGTTCGGACTATAGTTTATATTATAGTTCAGACTTTAGTTCAAAATGTAGTTTAGACAATAGTTTAGAATTTAGTCCGGACTATTGTTTGGGCTATAGTTCAGACTATAGTCGGAACTATTAACCAGTCACACTATAATTTATTCTATAGTTTAGGCAAAAGTTCGGACGATAGTGCGGACAATAGTTCAGAATATATTCCAGACAACACAAGACTAATAATTAACACTATAGTCCAGGCTACAGTTCAAACTAGTTCAGATTATAGTTCAGCCTATAGTTCAGTGTATACTTCAAACTATAATTCTGAACTATAGATCAGACTACATTCAAGACTATAGTTTTGACTAGAATCTTGGATATAGTTCAGATTATAGTCCTGGTTATTTTTGAGACTATAGTTTCGGCTATAGTTCAGACTATATCCCGGGTTTTTGCTGAGACTATAGTTCTAGATATAGTCTAGACTATAGTCCAGAATATACTTTAGATTTTAGTCCAGAATATGGATCCAGACTATTTCAGACTGTAAATGAAACTATAGACTAGACTATATTTTAAATAAAGTTCAGAGTATAGTTCCGTTCATTCAGATCTAGGCTATATTTTCCCTATTCTAATTATGAATATCAAAATTTTTTGATTAGCTTGACAGCTGAAGTTATGTATAATTAAACGTCAAAAACATCTCAAAATCTAAATATGAAACTTTCTATTATGGCTTTTCTTTAAAAAAAAAACAACAAAATTAATTTACAACCAAATGTTGACCACATTTGGACAAATTGGCTCATGTCGGTTTTGTAATATTAGTTGTTCTTGTTGCTGTTGGTTGGTTTCTTTTTAATTCTTCTGTTAATTTGCTACATTTGCATTAAAGTGTCGTGGTGGCGGTATAGGTGGCGTTGTTTTTGTTGTTGTTGAAGGTGGCATTGGTGGTAGTGGTGGTGATTGTGGTAACATGGATTTATTGAAAGGAGGAATCAATGGCAATGTTTCAGAAGGATAATGATGATGATATTCATGGTTAAAATAGTTTTGTGAATGATTGTGATGATGATGGTCTTGATATTGAGTTTGTGTTTGATTCTGATTCTGATATTGATGTTGCTGCTGAATTTGTTGATTTGTTGATGTTGCAGATGTGGTTGTTGTTGTTGTATTTTTTGTATTAAAAGGATTAAATACCAACCTTGAGTGTGGAAATTGCATTGATGGTGTATTGAACATGGGTGTTGGTGTGTGTGGCGGTTGCAACGCTTGCGCTGCCGTATCTGGATGTAAAAAGTTTTTTCGTTGTTCTACCCGCTCTTGATGTTGACTCAGACAACGTGTTATTATATCTGGCAGACTCTCCATATGATCCTGTTTGTTTTGGGGATAAAATATTTTAAATAAAAAAAAGAAATCAATTTAGTATAGAGTTTTAGATGAAAATGAAAATTATAAAATTAAATAAAAAATATTTCTGTACTTGTAGAGCTTGTAATTTATCTTCTAAATTTGTTAAACGTTCCTCTATGGCATCTTGTCTACTTGACATGTCTGATATTATTTCATACACTGTATTTTGTGTCTGGAAATTTAAGAAAACAAATGATTATGAGTAAAACGAAACTTTTTTTCGGAGTTGAGTATGTGAACGATGTACCGCAAAATTCTTATGGAGAATTTGTTATTTGATAGAAGTGGTGAACTATAAAGATGATTTTATATTTGAACTAAATATGTACTTGTATAAGGATATCAAACGTTCAGAAGCTAACCCAGCGGATTTTTAAAATATTATCGGCTGAAAAAATTACCTAAAGAGTATATTTGTGTTTCGACTATTTTTCGAGATATCAGGAGGAATTTGAAAATATGAATCGCTCAATTGCTGAGAGATTAGGAATAGCGCATAGTAATGGAAGAGAAGAAATGAAACAACTGGTAAGGCTCCAACGGAGCTATTATTTAACCGTGTAATTCGGTACAAAATACCTTCAATTCTAGATATCAGCGAGAACATTTTGCATAAGGATGCTAGAGACACAGATACCTTTAATAAGGAGAAAAAAGAGAAAGGACAAAGAAGAAACATTGGTCACAGAGTCAAAGTCAACAATATGAAAAATTAACACCAACACTTGGGCAGAAAAATTCGAAGTTTTTGTGCGAAAGAAAAACGATGTTACTATCCGCAAAAGTTATTTAAAACAAATTGACAAAACCGCCGGAATCCAGTGACAGTGAGCATGCAAAACTCGATTCGTTAGCAAAGTACATAGGGACACACATTGAACTGCAATCCTCTAACTCAAGGCTGACGCAGAAGTTGAAAAACATTTGACGGATGTGGAGATCTGTCACCTGCAAAAAAGTAGATAGCAGGTATGGAAAATTCTAGTCTATAGTCTAGTCTAGGTTAGTCTAGTCTGGTCTAGTCTAGTCTAGTCTAGTCTAGTCTAGTCTAGTCTAGTCTAGTCTAGTCTAGTCTAGTCTAGTCTAGTCTAGTCTAGTCTAGTCTAGTCTAGTCTAGTCTAGTCTAGTCTAGTCTAGTCTAGTCTAGTCTAGTCTAGTCTAGTCTAGTCTAGTCTAGTCTAGTCTAGTCTAGTCTAGTCTAGTCTAGTCTAGTCTAGTCTAGCTAGTCTAGTCTAGTCTAGTCTAGTCTAGTCTAGTCTAGTCTAGTCTAGTCTAGTCTAGTCTAGGTTAGTCTAGTCTGGTCTAGTCTAGTCCAGTCTAGTCTAGTCTAGACTATAGTCTAGTCTATAGTCTAGTCTATAGTCTAGTCTATAGTCTAGTCTATAGTCTAGTCTATAGTCTAGTCTATAGTCTAGTCTATAGTCTAGTCTATAGTCTAGTCTATAGTCTAGTCTATAGTCTAGTCTATAGTCTAGTCTATAGTCTAGTCTATAGTCTAGTCTATAGTCTAGTCTATAGTCTAGTCTATAGTCTAGTCTATAGTCTAGTCTATAGTCTAGTCTATAGTCTAGTCTATAGTCTAGTCTATAGTCCAGTCTATAGTCTAGTCTATAGTCTAGTCTATAGTCTAGTCTATAGTCTAGTCTATAGTCTAGTCTATAGGTCTAGTCTATAGTCTAGTCTATAGTCTAGTCTATAGTCTAGTCTATAGTCTAGTCTATAGTCTAGTCTATAGTCTAGTCTATAGTCTAGTCTATAGTCTAGTCTATAGTCTAGTCTATAGTCTAGTCTATAGTCTAGTCTATAGTCTAGTCTATTGTCTAGTCTAGTCTAGTCTATAGTCTAGTCTATGTCTAGTCTATAGTCTAGTCTATTGTCCTAGTCTATAGTCTAGTCTATAGTCTAGTCTATAGTCTAGTCTATAGTCTAGTCTATAGTCTAGTCTATAGTCTAGTCTATAGTCTAGTCTATAGTCTAGTCTATAGTCCTAGTCTATAGTCTAGTCTATAGTCTAGTCTATAGTCTAGTCTATAGTCTAGTCTATAGTCTAGTCTATAGTCCTAGTCTATAGTCTAGTCTATAGTCTAGTCTATAGTCTATAAGTCTAGTCTATAGTCTAGTCTATAGTCCGGTCTATTAGTTAGTCTATAGTCTAGTCTATAGTTCTAGTCTATAGTCTAGTCTATAATCTAGTCTATAGTCTAGTCTATAGTCTAGTCTATAGTCTAGTCTATAGTCTAGTCTATAGTCTAGTCTGTAGTCTAGTCTATAGTCTAGTCTATAGTCTAGTTTATTGTCTAGTCATATAGTCTAGTCTATAGTCTAGTGTTATAGTCTAGTCTATAGTCTAGTCTATAGTCAGTCTATAGTATAGTCTATAGTCTAGTCTATAGTCTAGTCTTAGTCTGGTATAGTCTAGTCTATAGTCAGTCTATGTCTAGTCTAGTCATAGTCTATAGTCTGTCTAGTCTAGTCTAGTCTAGTCTAGTCTAGTCTAGTCTAGCTATAGTCTAGTTTAGTCTAGTCTATAGTCTAGTCTAGTCTAGTCTAGTCTAGTCTAGTCTAGTCTAGTAGTCTAGTCTAGTCTAGTCTAGTCTAGTCTAGTCTAGTCTAGTCTAGTCTAGTCTAGTCTAGTCTAGTCTAGTCTAGTCTAGTCTAGTCTAGTCCTAGTCTAGTCTAGTCTAGTCTGTCTAGTCTAGTCTAGTCTAGTCTAGTCTAGTCTAGTCTAGTCTAGTCTAGTCTAGTCTAGTCTAGTCTAGTCTAGTCTAGTCTAGTCTATAGTCTAGTCTAGTCTAGTCTAGTCTAGTCTAGTCTAGTCTAGTCTAGTCTAGTCTATAGTCTAGTCTAGTCTAGTGTGGTCTAGTCTAGTCTAGTCTAGTCTAGTCTAGTCTAGTCTGTAGGTCTAGTCTAGTCTAGTCTAGTCTATAGTCTATGTCTATTAGTCTAGTTGTCTAGTCTAGTCTAGTCTAGTCTAGTCTAGTCTAGTCTAGTCTATAGTCTAGTCTATAGTCTAGTAGTCTAGTCTATAGTCTAGTCTATAGTCTAGTCTATAGTCTAGTCTATAGTCTAGTCTATAGTCTAGTCTATAGTCTAGTCTATAGTTATAGTCTAGTCTATAGTCTAGTCTATAGTCTAGTCTATAGTCTAGTCTAGTCTAGTCTATAGTCTAGTCTATAGTCTAGTCTATAGTCTAGTCTATAGTCTAGTCTATAGTCTAGTCTATAGTCTAGTCTAGTCTAGTCTATAGTCTAGTCTATAGTCTAGTCTATAGTCTAGTCTATAGTCTAGTCTATAGTCTAGTCGATAGTCTAGTCTATAGTCTAGTCTATAGTCTAGTCTATAGTCTAGTCTGTAGTCTAGACTATAGTCTAGTCTATAGTCTAGTCTATAGTCTAGTCTATAGTCTAGTCTATAGTCTAGTCTATAGTCTAGTCTATACTCTAGTCTATAGTCTAAAGTCTAGTCGATAGTCTAGTCTATAAACTAGTCTGTAGTGTAGTCTATAGTGTAGTCTATAAACTAGTCTATAGTCTAGTCTATAGTCTAGTCTATAGTCTATTCTATAGTCTAGTCTATAGTCTAGTCTATAGTCTAGTCTATAGTCTATTCTATAGTCTAGTCTATAGTCTAGTCTAGTCTGTAGTCTAGTCTATAGTCTAGTCTAGTCTAGTCTATAGACTAATCTATAGTCTAGTCTACAGTTTAGTCTATAGTCTAATCTATAGTCTGGTCTACAGTCAAGTCTATAGTCTAGTCTATAGTCTAGTCTATAGTCTAGTCTACAGTCTAGTATATAGTCTAGTTTATATTCATCCCTAGTCTCTTATGTAGTAAATAGTCTAGTTTGTAGTCTAGGGGAAAATTAGTTATGAGTAAGTAGTTTTTCAAAATTTCAATTTTCCATTCCATGATTTTTGACGATATAGTGGTATTATTAAGGGGGGGCTTATAGGTTTTTAAGAATAATTATGGACCTATTTATAACATTTGTTATTTATTATTTATTTCTTGATTAGAGTTTTTCATAGCAATACTGGGTATTTGTGCGGGTATTTTTGGCTTAATTCTAGAAGAAATGATTTCAAGGTAGATATGTTTTAATTGGTGAGTGATGTTTGTGTCAATGATTCCCAAAAAAAATAACAAAAAAACTATCAAATAAGGAACGCAGAAGGTTTACAACCCAACTAAATTGTGTTACGTGTAAAAAGTTGGATGAAAAAAAAAACGAAAAATGATAAAGTATGATTTTGGAACATATTAACTCAATAGTTTATCGAACTGCAGATAAAAATATTTCTTATATGGAAACTGTTACCGTTACGATAAAGTATAAACAGGCATAGACAAGTTGGAGGAATGGCACATAAACCTAAGTATTTCGAATGATCAGATGTTGACACCTCGTAATGGAAAAATCGTTTTCACAATATGAGAAAAACACCTCTCGATTACGAGATATCAAGATCTGAACGAATATATAAATTATTTGTAATCTTAACCACAAAACGCACTGTCAAAATATACATATGTAGTTGATTAGAAGATGCAATATTGGTATTCTCAAATTATTGATAAAAAATAATTTCAAGAATGAATATAAGAAGAAATTACTTACAAATTTTTTTTTATTAAGATTTTTTAATAAATACTTAATAATTTTCTTGTTTATTAGACTTTAGATGTAATATTTCAAAAAAATATTCTGAAATATATAGAAAAAAAAAAGCATTAAGTAAATGATATTTATACGTTTTTGGTATATTTTGTTTCTTTTGTTTTTTGTTTTGGTATATAATAAAAATACATATTTTTTGTTTATAATAACAAAATCATCTAAATAATACTCACAGCTTTTCAAATATAACAAATTCTTCATTTTAACTTTGTTTAAATTTTGCAAATGAAATGGCACGTCTAAAACTTACCTTGGCCATATCTGTTATCGTATTGGCATTATCCATCAGTTTACGCTGATCCATTTTAACTTTTCGTAACCTAATTATTTGGTTTTTGGTTTTTTTGGTATATTTGTTACGATTTTCAAAAAGTATTTTGTTTTTTTTTTTTTTTGTTGAGAAATAATAAAAAAATAAAGAAAAAGAAGCCATAATGAATAATAAAATTATGTAAATGTGTTTTTGGGTTAGTAGTTATTGGTGATTTTATTATTAATTTATTATTAGTTTTTAAGAGTTATTAATATTATTTAAGTTATATAGTCTTTTAAGAAATTATTTTAATTTATTATTAATTTTTTTATTGTTTATTAATTATTTAAAATTTTATTTATAAATTTTTATTGTATTATTTTCTTTTTTTTTGTTATTAATTTTTTATTTATTTAATTTGTTTTTATACAAATCTAATAATAATGTTAGTAAAATATTCTAATTAAAAATAAAAATAATATTTTTATAATAAATATGTAATTATAATAATTATAATATTATATTGAAAAATACTTAGCGATGAAAATTTAGAATTTCGTCGTTAAGATTGCAGAAAATCGTATCTCAAAATAAACCTAAAAAAGAAATATATAGCAAGTCTGTCTTTTACACACACTCTCTCTCTCACTCTCGCACTTTGAAATCAAAACCTCCACCATTTTGTTTTTCTCCTTTGTAAAAATTAACATAATAAATAAATGAAAAAAAAAATAAAAACTAAATAATTCTAAAAACAAAAAACTGAAAATGTTTTAAAAAGGAAATAATCTAATGGTAGGGTTTCTGCAATCTTAACTGTAACGAAATTGTCTTAAGAAACTAATATTCAAAGTGAAAATTGGAGTTTACATTCAAATGTGTAAGTCCACCACTTGTTCTGTTCTATAATCAGCTGCCTATAAAAACTCCTCATCATAAGATAAAAACTTTCCTAAAATATCTCTTTCTTTCCTATTTCGAGAAAAAAAAACCTTTACTCATCAAAAGGGTTGGAAAAACTGTTCGGTTTAAGCATGTAGTTTGTATGTACGAGTATGTTTGTTTTTTTTTTTAACGCATATTTGTAGTTTTTAATGAATATTTTGAGATACGAATTTCTAAAAAATTAACGACATGTCTAGTGAAATATTGAAATAAAGCAAATGCATGTTTTTTTGTCTTTTTAGTTTAAAAGTTGTTAATCGGTTTAGATGAAAAAAACACTTTGCAAATTTGGCTTTACAACCTAGTTACAGGCTAGTAAAACGAGTTGTTAATTGTTTTTCTGTTAAGTTGTTTTCGAAATAATGAGTTGGCGGTTTAGTTTTCTTTGCGGTTGGGAAAAGTAGGCGATGAAGGCAAGACAAGATACAAAAAAAATATTTAGAAATAACTGTACAAAACAAACACTGGTTACTTCTTTTTGTGGTAGTTTTATGTGTTTGTTTGTTAGATGAAGACAGTTACACCGATAAGCAGTTAGTAGCAGTGCTTTTTTTAAGAGAATGCATTCATTTAGATATTTATTTCTTTAACAAATCTAGTTCTGTAATTTAAAATTCTACAGTTGTCTAGTGTAGTCTATAATGTAGTTTATAGTCTAGTTTATAGTCTAGTCTCTAGTATAGCTTATAGTCTTGTCTATAATGTAGTTTATAGTCTAGTCTCTAGTATAGCTTATAGTCTTGTCTATAGTGTAGTCAATAGCCTAGTCTTTAGTCTGGTCTATAGTCTAGTTTATAATCTAGTTTATAACCTATTTTATATTCTAGTCTATAGTCAAGTTTATAGTATAGTCAATGGTCCTGTCTATAGTCTAGTCTATGGTCTAGTCTATAGTCTAGTCTCTAGTATAGCTTATAGTCTGGTCTATAGCCTAGTCAATAGTCTAATCTTTAGTCTGGTCTATAGTATAGTTTACAATATAGTCCATAACCTAGTTTATAGTCCAGTTTATACTCTAGTCCTATAGTCTACTTTATATCTAGTCTATGGGCCAGTCTATAGTCTAGTCTCTAGTATAGTTTATAGTCCAAGTCAATAGTCTAGTCTCTAGTATGTTTTAGCAGTCTGGTCTATAGTCTAGTCTTTAGTTGGGTCTATAGTCTAGTTTATAATCTAAGCTATAACCTAGTTTATAATCTAGTCTATATCTAGTCTGTAGTCTAGTCTTGTAGTCTAGTTCTGTATTCTGTCTATGTTCTAGTCTATATCTATTCTATAGTCTAGTCTATAGTCTAGTCCTATTAGTCTAGTCTATAGTCGAGTCTATAGTCTAGTCTATACCTAGTCCTATAGTCGAGTCGATATTCTAGTCTATAGTCTAGTCTATAGTCTTTCTATAGTCCTAGTCTATAGTCATAGTCTATAGTCTAGTCTATAGTCTAGTCTATAGTCTAGTCTATAGTCTAGTCTATAGTCTAGTCTATAGTCTAGTCTATAGTCTAGTCTATAGTCTAGTCTATAGTCTAGTCTATAGTCGTCTATAGTCTAGTCTATAGTCTAGTCTATAGTCTAGTCTATAGTCTAGTCTATAGTCTAGTCTATAGTCTAGTCTATAATCTAGTCTATAGTCTAGTCTATAGTCTAGTCTATAGTCTAGTCTATAGTCTAGTCTAGTCTATAGTCTAGTCTATATTCTAGTCTATAGTCTAGTCTATAGTCTAGTCTATAGTCTAGTCTATAGTCTAGTCTATAGTCTAGTCTATAGTCTAGTCTATAGTCTAGTCTATAGTCTAGTCTATAGTCTAGTCTATAGTCTAGTCTATAGTCTAGTCTATAGTCTAGTCTATAGTCTAGTCTATAGTCTAGTCTATAGTCTAGTCTATAGTCTAGTCTATAGTCTAGTCTATAGTCTAGTCTATAGTCTAGTCTATAGTCTAGTCTATAGTCTAGTCTATTGTCTAGTCTATAGTCTAGTCTATAGTCTAGTCTATAGTCTAGTCTATAGTCTAGTCTATAGTCTAGTCTATAGTCTAGTCTATAGTCTAGTCTATAGTCTAGTCTATAGTCTAGTCTATAGTCTAGTCTATAGTCTAGTCTATAGCTAGTCTATAGTCTAGTCTATAGTCTAGTCTATAGTCTAGTCTATAGTCTAGTCTATAGTCTAGTCTATAGTCTAGTCTATAGTCTAGTCTATAGTCTAGTCTATAGTCTAGTCTATAGTCTAGTCTATAGTCTAGTCTATAGTCTAGTCTAGTCTATAGTCTAGTCTATAGTCTAGTCTATAGTCTAGTCTATAGTCTAGTCTATAGTCTAGTCTATAGTCTAGTCTATAGTCTAGTCTATAGTCTAGTCTATGTCTAGTCTATAGTCTAGTCTATAGTCTAGTCTATAGTCTAGTCTATAGTCTAGTCTATAGTCTAGTCTATAGTCTAGTAGTCTAGTCTATAGTCTAGTCTATAGTCTAGTCTATAGTCTAGTCTATAGTCTAGTCTATAGTCTAGTCTATAGTCTAGTCTATAATCTAGTATATAGTCTGGTAGAAAGTTCGAAGCAATTCTGGTAGTTACATGGTCGATCTTAGCTTTTCGTGTATATAGATCTATAGGTTTTAATAGAAGTCGGAAAAATTTTCTTCAATTTAAAAAGTTCGGAGCAAACGTATTAATTATATAGTCCATCTTAGCCTTTTTCTTAAACATATATAGAGCAATACGTTCTAACTCGGGAAATTAATTATAAAATGTTATCGAATATCAAAGATAAGTTATAACGAAATCGGAAAAGTATAAATTTCACTTTCGAGGTCAAAGTTGAAAATGTTCAATATTAAGTATTCTGAATCAATATTTTTGGCTTCTTAAAATTTTATCCATCTTTTCGGAGGTGCAAAATTAAACCTTAAGCAGTACTTAGTTAATAAGAAATAATAACAATTTTTAAAAATGAATACATTCTTTTAATTAACTGCTTAGTATAGACTAACCCAATGTAACTATATGAAAAGAAGTTGAAGTTTATAATCTAGTAGTCTTTTTTTTAATGAATTTTTCTATAAGCTTTTGCTGTTATGGCAAGGTTATGGTTAGATTAACACATTTATGGTTGGAGTAAAGAAAAACAAAATTGTTTAGAGAAAAGTTAATTGTGCTGCTTATTGCTACTATTGTTATTGTTTTGCTACTATTTCTCTAATACATATAAGTACTACTTATGCTAGTAACCGAGACAGTATTCTATTGTAGGGTCGGAGGCCGTTTAAAAAAGTGGTTTAAGAATAGAAAAAAAAAACTATAAAGTGTTAATAAATTATTGTACACAACTGTAGTTTAAGAACAAGAAAGTTTAAAGAATATAAGGCTTTACTCTAGTCATAGAGAGCAATGGTCAGGACGTGATACACACACACACAGGACTATAATACACATACATTTACATATATACACAAAAAAACAAACACAAAATTGTAATGTTAAAAAGAAGCAAATTGTAAGTACTGTTGTAACTATAAAAAGTACATACAGATGTAATATTGTTAGCTGTGTTGAAAGGATATAAAGCGAGGGCGCATAAAGAACGCTCTAATGGAAAGCTATCTCTAAAAAAAAGGAGCAATAGTAGACAACAACAAGGACAAGCTAAAAATGTTCTGTTTGTTTGCTTAGCAGTTGAAATTGGTTGCTGGCTTCAGTGTCCTTGCTGTGTTTTTTTACGGATGGAAAAAGAAGGTACACATGTATGTATGTGTGTCTGTGTGCGTGTTGGTATATGTGTACATAGAATAAATATGGCAAGCAGTTTCCTGTTTTCCCTATGGGCTTCTGCTTGCCAACACACAAAAATAAAAGAAAGTGCTGTTTATTGAAACATAGAATATTTAGTGATTTTTCTTGTTTTGCTTGTTCATTCTTTTGTTTGGTTAGTTATCCTATCGATTTGCTTTGCTTTTTGTTAAAGACAACATATACTTTAAAATATACTACTATATCTTCTAACTTGGTTTTTCTTGTTTGTTTGCTTTTCTTTATTTATTTTTTTTTTGATTTTAGTAAATATTTTTGGTTTAGTTGCTGTTAACACAAAAAAATTGTTTTTTTCTTTTTTTTGCAGTTTTTTTTGGTGTTGCTTGTTTAGAATTTTTTTGGTTTTTGTTTGAATACTCACGCATAAATTGCTAGAAGGAACTTTCTTTGGTGGGTTCTTACACGTCCGGGATTAACCCGTTTTACTAGTCTTGTATGTTTGTAAATGAGCCAAGTTTCACGAAGAACATTCGCCGCAGCATTTTTCAGCTAAAAAAAGTATATATTGGTTGTTTTTTTGTTTTTTGTTTTGATTTTTTTTTGGTTAATTTTTTTGTATGTTATTTTTTTTATATAGAAGAAAAAAAGGGAATAATACATATACATGTTAGCGCTTTTTTGTTTTTTCTTGTTTTTTTTTTAATAAGCCATAAAAAACTTAAGATGTTAGAAAAAAATAAATTATAAAATATATAAAAATAATATATAAAGTGCAAAGTAAATTACAAATAAACAGAAAGGGCGATGAAGAGTAAATTAAAAATAAAACAAATATTGGAAAAGTAATAAATTTTTATAAAATAGATAAGATGTTGACATAAGTTGAAAATCTGGCAGAGTGTCTTCTTGTATATGTACTGTGGCCTTTGGATTAGGTTCTGCTCATCTGTCATCTAACAACCATCTACCTTCCTTAACTTTTAAAAGTATTGATCCCAATGGATATACTGCTTCTAACAGACGAAGAAGATGCGTTACTGGAATCCATGCCAAAAGTACAAGACTCCTAACTCTTAAGAGTATTGACCCAAATTGACGTATTGGTTCTAACAGACGATGAAGATGTGTTAACGAAATCTATGCCAAACGTACAAGTCTTAATTGCCGTAAATCTAGATCTAGAATAGACATCAGTCACTACATATCCGGTTTGCGCGGAAATGCTTAAAATCATGAACATCGTAAAGGCACTTAAATTGTACCTCAAACTGATAAAGGATGTTACGAGTAAAATGCTTAAAATCATACATCGAGCCCGGTATGAAATCGTAAAGGCACTTAAATTTTATCTGAAACAGAGGACTACAAATAGCTAGCACAACAGACTCTAAAAAGTCCATTAACCTCGGTTGGATACTATTAATATGCAAAGTCGTGGAATCGACTACAAATGTTGTAGTATAATGTTCTTTAATAAAGGTCATGGTTTGGTATAAAATTGATAATTCTATCCAAAGAGTAAGTTATCAGGGCAAAATTTTATATCAAATCCTTTTCAGAAAGGACCACTGGAGTTAACAGAAGAGGAAATCCAAATTCACTTGATTTATAAAGTTAAGACTGCAGTGATATTTGAAATCTTAAAGAGACCAACTCCAAACCTATCCGTTCGAGGAAAAGTACAACCATTTCGGCGATAATTCATACCACGAGATGGATGTCTAAGAATGGTGTCTTCTAATTAGCAAAGGAAACATCCCTCAAAGGTGATCTGGTAAACAATACGGTAAATAGTCCATAAAAACAATTGTTCTATGACATATCAAGTTCCACTAGCCGAGTTACCACGTTCAGCCTATGACGTATTTTACCATGAACCTTTGTGTAGGGGCTATGGTCAAATTCATGAGAGTCATCTTGCTTTTTGTCGAGATATTATTATATTAAACATAATTATGAACTTGAAAGCCCTATTCGTCAGGTTCAGTTGTATGGGGACTAGCTGAAATCATTGACCGATGTTAACCAATTTCAATAGACTTCGTCTCCGGTACCATAGAAGATCATGTGCCAAATTTCATTGAATTATCTTCAAAATTGCGACCTGTAGTTTGATTACAAGGTTTACATGGACGGACGGACAGACGCACGGACACAGCTAAATCGACTCAGAAAATTATTCTAAGCCGATTGGTTACTTAAAGGTGGGTATAGGACCAATATTATTGCGCGTTACAAACATCAGCACAAACCCAATATACATAATATACCTCCCCACTAAAGTGGTGTAGGGTATAATTAGTAAGAAAACTCAATTATTACTCTCTTGCCTATACCAGTTTTAATCATATCTTTTAGTTTATTTCATATAATTGAGCATTTTTCTGCACTAGAAGCAAGAGAGCTCATGAACATTATCTCGTTTTCACGCGTATATACAAAAATTAAATCAGTTAGAAAACTCAACTGTTACTCTCTTGCCTATAACTATTTTCAGTTTCATTTTTATAATTGAGCTTTTTTTCAACACTGGGAAAGTTATCGGCGAAGAGAGTATTATAGCTCATAAGCTCTCTCTCTTGTTTTCACATGTATGTATTAGAAAACGAAACATTGAGCATTTTTCTACACTAGGGATGTAATTGGCATAGAGAGTATTGTATTCACCTCATAAACTCTCTCTTGTTTTCGAATATGTGTATTAAAAAACGAAAGCTCAATTGTAACTCCCTGCATATGCCTGTTTTCAAATATATTGGTCCTACACCCACCTTAATGTATACCAATATGCTCAGTGTCACTTTCTGAGTCGACTAAGCCATGTCCGTCCGTCTGTCCGCTGTCTGTCTATCCCTCTGTGCGGTCATGTAAATCTTGAGCTCACGCTACAATTTTCAAGATAAGTTCATAAAATTTGGCATATACTTTTCTCTTGACCCAAGGACAAAGCCTTGGGTTCATTATTTCACCGACTAAGCCATGTCCATCCGTCCGTCCGTCTGTATGTCTGTCCGTCTGTCCATCTGGCGGTCATGTAAACCTTGAGCTCACGCTACAATTTTCAAGAAAAGTTGATGAAATTTGGCACATACTTTTCTCTTGGCCCAAGGACAAAGCCTTGGGTTCATTATTTTACCGACTAAGCCATGTCCATCCGTCCGTCTGTCTGTCTGTCAGTATGTCTTTCTGTCTGTCCGTCTGTCCATCTGTGCGGTCATGTAAACCTTGAGCGCACGCTACAATTTTCAAGATAAGTTGATAAAATTTGGCACATACTTTTCTCTTGGCCCAAGGACAAAGCCTTGGGTTTATTATTTCACCGTCTAAGCCATGTCCATCCGTCCGTCTGCCTGTCTATCCGTCTGTGCGGTCATGTAAACCTTGATCGCACGCTACAATTTTCAATATAAGTTGATGAAATTTGGCACATACTTTTTTCTTGGCCCAAGACGAAGCCTTGGGTTCATTATTTCGGCCAGCCACCATACAACCATACCCCTCGAATAGGGCTCTTGAGCTCATAATAATGTTAAATGTTTTACTATTTCTACATAAATCGTCACAGAATAGTACTTTAAAGTCAATAATTCACTTATAATCTCTAGTATCACCACAAAATTCTGTGGTGGTTTCTCTATAAATTTCTTTCCTGTCATTTTAAAATATCCTTAGCTAGATAACCTCAAATCCTAATAATTTACAACCATTAAAAATAAATCTTTTAACAAAACAAACATTGACAATTTGTCTGCCATTATCTCAACACAGTGTCAACATTAACCTTTAGATTTTTTATAGAAAACTTGCTACCAATACACATAAATTAAAATAAACCAAACAATTAATTTTCCAATATTGATTAACAAAAAAATCGAAAAACAACATGAGAGAGAAATAAAACTGTAAAACACAATAAAAACCACAAATCCAATAATTTAAAATTAAATCTCAGAAAGCAACAGTTAAACGTAAAATTAAACATGCACAGGAGGAGATAGGAAAAAAAGAAATTAAAAAAATATAAAAAATATAAACTAAACTTAATAAAGAAAAACGAGAGACAATTAAAATGTGAAGGCAAATAAAATAAAATAGTTAAAATAACAAATTAAAATAGTAGTAGTAGTAGTTAAATACTTATATAAAAAAAAAGTTTTTATAGTAATTGAAACTCAAACAGCTACAGCAGCTTAAAGTTAATACAAGGCAAATAAATACTATATGACAAAAGACTACTACTGGCGACTACTGCTACTTGTATACACATTCAATTACTTCTGTAGCCTGTTACACTACTGCACAATGGCAAGGTTACAGAATACATGATATTTTTTTTTTTTTTTAATTTTTTTCATTTAAAATAACACAACTACTACAATTAAAAATAAATTAAGTTTTATTTAATTGAACAAAATGGTTTTAACTATTTTTTTTTTTTTATAAATTTCCTTATTAAGCTGGTTACTTAGTTTATTTTTTTTTAAACAAAATTAAACAGTTTGTATAGAATTGTTTATCAAAAAGTGTATGGTAAAGTGGGTGGTTTGTTAAGTCTTTTTTATAGCAGATTATTTTTTTAAAAAGGCAAGCAATTAATTTTAATTGTTTACACAATAAACACAATTATATAATTTATATAAATATAGTAATTTTAAAAACAGTAAAACTTAGGTTTACACATACAGAAAAACAAAACACAAAACACAAACAAATTGTAGTTAAATAAAACAAAAAAAAAATAAAATGAAAATAATTTAAAAACCCAAAAGATTCAACAAAAAAAGAAAGTTATTAATTAATTAAATCAGAAAACATAAACATTTTTAAAACACAAACAAACATTAAACGATTTAAATACCCTTTTTGTTAACTGTGTGTCCATCATAAAATTGTGCACATGTTTTTCCGCTCTTGTCAATTCCAGTTTTCTGGAGACAACCGCTACCAGTAGAGCCGTACAACCGGCGCCCTGTAAAGAAATTATGATTTTTTTTGTTTGGTTTGAGAGGGGGAAAAAAGAATAAAGAAATTAAGTTTTTAGTTTAAGATTATTTTTATTTAATTTTATAAATATTTTCTTTAATAAATATAGTCTGGGTCTAAAAAGTTCTAAAGGTCGTTGCACAGTCAAAAGTCGCAAAATATGTTGCAATTAAAATTTGCAATAATTTTTGTTATAAGATTTTTGTTATAATAATTTGTAATGTTTGTAATTAAAAAGTTTTTCATAGATTTCTTAATATAAGGAAATAAAGCTTAATTTCAAGGAGAGTATAAAAAGCTTTAAAAATCAAGAGAGAGCTACACTTGCTCTCTAATTTCATTAACAGTTTTCATTTCTTTAAACCAGTGTGAAAGGCAGAGAGTAGAAAATAGACTATAGTCTATCCTATAGCCTAGTTATAATCTAGTCTATAGTCTAGTCTAGTCTATAGTCTAGGCAGAGAGTAGAAAATAGACTATAGTCTATCCTATAGCCTAGTTTATAATCTAGTCTATAGTCTAATCTATTAGTTTAGTCTATAGTCTAGTCTATAGTCTAGTCTATAGTCTAGTCTATAGTCTAGTCTATAGTCTAGTCTATAGTCTAGTCTATAGTAGTCTATAGTCTAGTCTATAGTCTAGTCTATAGTCTAGTCTATAGTCTAGTCTATAGTCTAGACTATAGTCTAGTCTATAGTCTAGTCAATAGTCTAGTCTATAGTCTAGTCTATAGTCTAGTCTATAGTCTAGTCTATAGTCTAGTCTATAGTCTAGTCTATAGTCTAGTCTATAGTCTAGTCTATAGTCTAGTCTATAGTCTAGTCTATAGTCTAGTCTATAGTCTAGTCTATAGTCTAGTCTATAGTCTAGTCTATAGTCTAGTCTATAGTCTAGTCTATAGTCTAGTCTATAGTCTAGTCTATAGTCTAGTCTATAGTCTAGTCTATAGTCTAGTCTATAGTCTAGTCTATAGTTCTAGTCTATAGTCTAGTCTATAGTCTAGTCTATAGTCTAGTCTATAGTCTAGTATAGTCTAGTCTATAGTCTAGTCTATAGTCTAGTCTATAGTCTAGTCTTAGTCTAGTCTATAGTCTAGTCTATAGTCTAGTCTATAGTCTAGTCTATAGTCTAGTCTATAGTCTAGTCTATAGTCTAGGCTATCGTTATAGTCTATAGTCTAGTCTATAGTCTAGTCTATAGTATAGTCTAGTAGTCTAGTCTATAGTCTAGTCTATAGTCTAGTCTATAGTCTAGTCTATAGTCTAGTCTATAGTCTAGTCTATAGTCTAGTCTATAGTCTAGTCTATAGTCTAGTCTATAGTCTAGTCTATAGTCTAGTTATAGTCTAGTCTATAGTCTAGTCTATAGTCTAGTCTATAGTCTAGTCTATAGTCTAGTCTATAGTCTAGTCTATAGTCTAGTCTATAGTCTAGTCTATAGTCTAGTCTATAGTCTAGTCTATAGTCTAGTCTATAGTCTAGTCTATAGTCTAGTCTATAGTCTAGTCTATAGTCTAGTCTATAGTCTAGTCTATAGTCTAGTCTATAGTCTAGTCTATAGTCTAGTCTATAGTTAGTCTATAGTCTAGTCTATAGTCTAGTCTATAGTCTAGTCTAGTCATAGTCTAGTCTATAGTCTAGTCTATAGTCTAGTCTATAGTCTAGTCTATAGTCTAGTCTAGTCTAGTTATAGTCTAGTCTATAGTCTAGTCTATAGTCTAGTGCTATAGTCTAGTCTATAGTCTAGTCTATAGTCTAGTCTATAGTCTAGTCTATAGTCTAGTCTATAGTCTAGTCTATAGTCTAGTCTATAGTCTAGTCTATAGTCTAGTCTGATAGTCTAGTCTATAGTCTAGTCTATAGTCTAGTCCTATAGTCTAGTCTATAGTCTAGTCTATAGTCTAGTCTATAGTCTAGTCTATAGTTCTAGTCTATAGTCTAGTCTATAGTTAGTCTTAGTCTAGTCTATAGTTCTAGTCTATAGTCTAGTCTATAGTCTAGTCTATAGTCTAGTCTATAGTCTATGTCTATATGTCTATAGTCTATAGTCTAGTCTATAGTCTAGTCTATAGTCTAGTCTATAGTCTAGTCTATAGTGTCTATAGTCTAGTCTATAGTCTAGTCTATAGTCTAGTCTATAGTCTAGTCTATAGTCTAGTCTATAGTCTAGTCTATAGTCTAGTCTATAGTCTAGTCTATAGTCTAGTCTATAGTCTAGTCTATAGTCTAGTCTATAGTCTAGTCTATAGTCTAGTCTATAGTCTAGTCTATAGTCTAGTCTATAGTCTAGTCTATAGTCTAGTCTATAGTCTAGTCTATAGTCTAGTCTATAGTCTAGTCTATAGTCTAGTCTATAGTCTAGTCTATAGTCTAGTCTATAGTCTGGTCTATAGTCTAGTCTATAGTCTAGTCTATAGTCTAGTCTATAGTCTAGTCTATAGTCTAGTCTATAGTCTAGTCTATAGTCTAGTCTATAGTCTAGTCTATAGTCTAGTCTATAGTCTAGTCTATAGTCTAGTCTATAGTCTAGTCTATAGTCTAGTCTATAGTCTAGTCTATAGTCTAGTCTATAGTCTAGTCTATAGTCTAGTCTATAGTCTAGTCTATAGTCTAGTCTATAGTCTAGTCTATAGTCTAGTCTATAGTCTAGTCTATAGTCTAGTCTATAGTCTAGTCTATAGTCTAGTCTATAGTCTAGTCTATAGTCTAGTCTATAGTCTAGTCTATAGTCTAGTCTATAGTCTAGTCTATAGTCTAGTCTATAGTCTAGTCTATAGTCTAGTCTATAGTCTAGTCTATAGTCTAGTCTATAGTCTAGTCTATAGTCTAGTCTATAGTCTAGTCTATAGTCTAGTCTATAGTCTAGTCTATAGTCTAGTCTATAGTCTAGTCCTATAGTCTAGTCTATAGTCTAGTCTATAGTCTAGTCTATAGTCTAGTCTATAGTCTAGTCTATAGTCTAGTCTATAGTCTAGTCTATAGTCTAGTCTATAGTCTAGTCTATAGTCTAGTCTATAGTCTAGTCTATAGTCTAGTCTAGTCTATAGTCTAGTCTATAGTCTAGTCTATAGTCTAGTCTATAGTCTAGTCTATAGTCTAGTCTATAGTCTAGTCTATAGTCTAGTCTATAGTCTAGTCTATAGTCTAGTCTATAGTCTAGTCTATAGTCTAGTCTATAGTCTAGTCTATAGTCTAGTCTATAGTCTAGTCTATAGTCTAGTCTATAGTCTAGTCTATAGTCTAGTCTATAGTCTAGTCTATAGTCTAGTCTATAGTCTAGTCTATAGTCTAGTCTATAGTCTAGTCTATAGTCTAGTCTATAGTCTAGTCTATAGTCTAGTCTATAGTCTAGTCTATAGTCTAGTCTATAGTCTAGTCTATAGTCTAGTCTATAGTCTAGTCTATAGTCTAGTCTATAGTCTAGTCTATAGTCTAGTCTATAGTCTAGTCTATAGTCTAGTCTGTAGTCTAGTCTATAGTCTAGTCTATAGTCTAGTCTATAGTCTAGTCTATAGTCTAGTCTATAGTCTAGTCTATAGTCTAGTCTGTAGTCTAGTCTATAGTCTAGTCTATAGTCTAGTCTATAGTCTAGTCTATAGTCTAGTCTATAGTCTAGTCTATAGTCTAGTCTATAGTCTAGTCTATAGTCTAGTCTATAGTCTAGGCTATAGACTAGTCTAGGCTATAGACTAGTCTAGGCTATATTTTAGTCTACAGTCGATAGAACGATCAAAAAAATTAGGTTTCTTCAATTAATTGTGAATAAATTAAACAATTTATGAACATTTTTGGAATTTATGATTTTTCCAAAAGAAATATGTTGCTGCCGATTCTCCTAGAGAAATTGCCTGCAATATTAAACAATCAAAGAGATAATTTTTTTTTTACAATTTAATAAGTTCTTCAAACCATTAATTATATTTAAAACGATTATCTGCTGCCATTAAATAATAACTATAACAAAAATAATTCTGCCCTTTTTAAACCTTCATCCCACATTTTTCCCTTTATATTAAAACCTTTATTGCATTAAAGGATTCATTAGTATTACTTTTACTGTATGTGCCGTAAAAGTAACGATTACGTTAATACGTTTAATTTAAGTTGATTTTATTTAAATTTTTATCGCCTGCCTTTAATTTCAATACAATGAATACAATGAACACTTGTATATGTAAGATCACATACCTATATATTTTTATAGGTTTGAATGTATGAAACAAAGATTTAATTTTGCTTTTTAAGTCTTTTTAACAATGCAACCATAGAAATGTATTTACACGTAGTATGTTACGACGTAATCATTGTCAAATACAATTTAAATGTCATGACATTACTACAGCAAACAATAGTGTTCAAACTGAAATTATTAGCCCAGCAAACACGAATAATTTAAACAGAAATTGGGAATAATTTGGAACTAAAGTTTGGTCTCAAATGTAAATTTTTAAAAAATTACATTTTCTTTAACTAGAAATCAACATTTTAATAAAAATAAGAAGTTTTCCCACAAATTTTTAAAAATTCTTTTATTAACATTTTAAAATAATAAATATCACAACAATTTCTCAAACTTGTTTAAAAAAATTTAAACCAGTTCACTGGGTATTGTCACATTTATTCAATCTCTTATTGTTTTTATATTAAAAAAAACTCATACATATGAAAATAATGCATTTCCTACGATAACGTATAAGTAACGGTTTCTTTGTTTGTTTACACTATTCTTATGTGCATATTAGTGAGAACACTATAGAAAAATGGCGTGTGTGTATGAGAGCCAGATACTGAGTTTACGGTTAAGTGGTTGTATAGTTTTTTACAACCGGATGTGTTTGTTTGTCTCTCTTTCTTCTCATATATGTACATATAAATGTATGTGTGTAAGTATGTTAAAGTATTTTCATGTGTCTTGTTGATTTTATCTAGTTAATTCAGTCAATTTTCATTATGTCTGTGCATGTATGTATGCCTCTGCTTAAAAATC